AGACACTAGGAGCTTGGAAATGAAACGAAATTGATCACCAAAACTGGTTTTTAATTGATCCTGTTGCTCAAGATTTTTGAAAAKATGATCTCGACAYTCWAATGCCCTTTTYAAATAATATTCTGATTTGACCAAGTTATCKGTATATATTTCACCATCTTTRTTTTGTTTAGCTAGRCTATGGAATGCTTTACCYAATGMAGAGCATGCATTGCTCTCCAAGTGTTTATTAGCACTAAACATGGCARYACTTAAGCTTTTATCTTGGCAACAAATAGCTTGTTGAAAATCACCTTCATGGTAATGATTCMAACCAAGGTTCCAGTAAGCTRAAGCTTCTGCTTCTTTGTCACCARTYTCTTTGGCAATGTTCAAGCTTATACTGTAGATATGACTTGATTCTTGTAGTGATTTAAGTTCTCTGTAACATTTACCAATACTACAAGTGGCTGAGGCCTGTGTTTTTTTATCTTCCATCTCTTGAGCAAGCTTTAAGCATTKYAAATGGTAGGGCAAGGCYTCTTTATATCTTCCACACACATTCATATGCAATCCAATATTTCCCAAGCATTTCGCTTGCAAACTTTTGTCACCAATTTCTTGCACTATGGAAAGACTTTGTTTGTCAAGGTCTAAACTCTTTTCAAAGTTCCAGATGTTATGATGTAGTTTGGCTAACTGAAGCAATGTATTTGCTTGATCTTTCTTATTATCCAACTTTTTAGCTATTGCAAGAGATTTCTCTCCACAAACAATTGCATTATGATATTTCCCTAGGCTTGTGTATGCCAGAGCAAGATTATTGTAGGAATCTCCTAGAAGTTTTTCATCATTTTGTTGTGTGGAAAGTTCWATACTTTTCTTACAACATTTCACAGCATTATCATAATTGCACATGGAAGTGTATGCACCTGCAAGATTAAGATAAGATAATGCTACTCTTTTTTCGTCTCCAAGTTTTGCAGCAATTTCAAACCCTTGTTTCAAATATTTCAGACCATAACTTGGCATTTCTTGTTCTGTGTAAAGAGCCCCAAGGTTGTTTTGCATGTCTCCCTCCAATGCCTTGTCACCAATTTCTGTGGCTAGCTTCAAGCCTTGCTCTATAAAATCAAATGCTTCTTCGTATCTTCTGAGAGACCTCATAGATAATGATAAGTTGTTAAGTGCTTTTCCTTCATCATTTTTGAATCCATTCTTTCGTGCAATTCTTAGGGTTTTCTTGAAATGTTTTATAGCTTCTTTGTGTTGACAGGATTTCTGACTTGACAGGCCAAGAGAAAAGGCTTGGACCATTTTATCACGCTCAAATGTCGTGTCACGTGACATCATGCTAAAAATAAACATCAGTCAGGAAATGTCTGGTAAAATTACATGATTTCAAAAATTCATCCAATTAAAGAAATTACTGGATTGATTTGGAAAGATGCACAACAAGAAATTTGKTTGGGTTTGATTACAATAGGATGCCTTCTCATATACTCTTTGACCTCTTTGACTCTATCAATCACATATCATCTTTGCCTACAGTCCCATTTCCRTTTTGTGTGCACTGCTCGGCTCACTGCTCGATGTTCTAGACTACGAACTAAGATACCATTCCCTGCCATCTTCGATCAAAAAATACAGCATGCTTGGTCTTAATTCTGATGGCAGGGACCTAATAGTTACCGAGATCCTGATGAAACTTGAATATAATAGTTTTCAAAGCGTATGAACATAGTGAACAGAGCAAATTTATTGATTTACCYCGGCTACTTGCAGAAACTTGGAACTTGGAAACGCCAATTGAATACGTTTGTCCTCCTCGAAGAGCTAGAGGAAAGCTGCGTTCAGTACTTCACGTCTTTCAGTTACCACAGGGATCCTAGCGTCTCGTCCCTTGAATAGCTAAAATTTTACATTTTTCTCTTTTCATTTGTTTAAAACGATTTGATTTGAATTTCATTTTCTCTTGAAATGCAATCAACAACTGGTTTGGCAGTACATACCATAGTTAATATTAACTATGTACATACAATGCAAATACATTATATCTATTTTACCGGTTTTCAGGGAAATTTGTTTTATTTTTGTTGTTGTTGTTGTGGTTTTTTTTTTTCTTTTTACATTTCTAAAAACTTCCCTCTCTCGTTTGTCACATCTTGAAGTAGTATGAAATAGCATTGCCTTGGAAAAGCACTATTCTAGTCGACTGTCTTCTGTCTGTCCGTCCGTAATAGTTTAATTTCCGCGAGAGACTGGTACAGAAACCAATGACTGTGAAAAGCAACCAAGCAAAAGACTTCAATGCAAAATCCCCTTCAGCATTTCCACCCCAATACAACCCGGATTGATTACTGCCGGCTGAAAGCTGAACGCAAACTGAAATTTCAGTATATATTGGTGTGAACTGTCTTTCAAGATGTCGTCTTCTCGGCGGAGAGAAACGCTTTTTTTAGTAGCTGTTTTGTTGTTAGTGCAGATTCATGATTCCCAAGGCGCTGACTGTAAACCGGTAAAATGAAGGCCTTGTTGTAATGTTTACATATATTTTTAAGGTTTTGATTCATACGAATTATGATGTTAATGGTTAGAGTTAAGTTATTAATGGGTAAATTGATCTTTTCAGGAGGAACTAAAATATGAATTCACCGAATGCGATTCAAGCGATGGCCGATGGCGAGTTGCTGTGCCCAAAAAGGTGGGAAGTTGTGAAGCCAAAGAAGCATTATCAAGGCAAGAAAAATGCGGTAAGATTTTATTTAAAGAAAAGTTCTTTGATTTAATATAATCTGTCTTTCTCCATTCTCATATGSTTATTGTTTTGGGTGTATATCCAAGTAACCAAAAGCGGGCTAAACTTTGCAGATTGAATTCCAAACGCAATCAAGAGTGAAAGATGCAAATTTTTCCCTCGTTAAAAATTGCTCAAAAACGCGATATTTATTGATGATTTTATGAAGAAAGTATAACTAACACTATCAGTTACCATTGCAACGAGATTTAGTTGTATAAGGCTAAATATTTCGTATGTACGTAAATAAAAATACAACCTTACATTGAACTGTATTAGCTTTATATTGAATATTCAAAAACCGATCTTCTCTGAATCAGTTTTCTTTGTTTTACAGTAAAAAGGAATAYCTTTCAGCTGTTGTTTATTTTGACGAAGAAACAGTTGAAGTATTTTTATAAGGATAACGATTAAAACTAAAAAATACCAGGTTTTTGAATCGAGCATTGTAGACTGACTTTCAAATGATGATCGACAAATAATTTGAATATGTTTAGTGTCATATTACAAATGGCGGGCTTTTCTTTCGTGATCTTTGGCTTCGTTGAGCTAATAATCAGCCCAAACTTTATTGTTTTTAAGTTCAGTAAGTTGGTTATTATGAAAAAAGTAAAGCTCACGTTCTTTGAGAATCGAACTTTTGAGTATTAAGAAAAATTTTGAAAATGCATCGGAAACCCATAAAGTGCTTCGTCATAAATTTCAGACAAAAAGTGAAATATGGCGTTTAATATAATTCAAAGCTTTGTTTAATTAGTACCATACCTTTAAAGTTATTTTCTGTGACATCTCTTAYATTTTTTTACAAACTTACAGTTAAACTCTAACTTACAAAAAATATTCAGCAAATATKATATTGACATTTCATTTTAGTGAAACATCGAAATTCAAGTCGCTTTCTCTAATAATATGCTATCCTGTGCATACAGTATCCGCGTTAGAGTCAAATGTAATATCTCTGCTATCTCCTTTAGGGAATTAAAGTGGTTATAATTTGAAGAGGACTATACTAATGCTGCTCATGAATTTTTTATCAMAAATGGCAAAAAAACTTATTCCTTTTTATTCAGTAAGCGGTAAAATATATCTAAAGTTTCCTGTGCAAATGAGATTGAAATATTTTGACTATTATAGAGGTCACTGGGTCGTCAGTTTCTCATATTGCTACTATGCGACATTGTTTACAACAGAAAAAATCTCTGATGTTTCAAACTTAAGACAAATTTTCCTTTTTTCTGGTTGTTAATAATCCTGAATTTGAAGTGAAGTGAGATTTAGGAAAGTCTAGTTTCCTGTGATATCTAGAGAGGTAACAGACTTCACTTTGCATGTACATAAGCATGCCATAATCAAACACCTCGTCTCACACAGATAAATATTTCCACAAGATCGTGTCAATCTTGATGGTCGTGTTGTATCGCTTTATTGCTCAGTATGGTTCCTCCAAAATAACACAGCTCAGAATTGCTATACAGATAATTTTAAGCAGGGCTTGGTTTGAATATTACAAACGCGAGACCAATCTAAACTCATTCTTAATATTCTATTTTTTTCAGTTTTTACTTGTGACCCTGGCAGCTACCTTGATGTCAACAGTGCTAAATTAGARTGTAAAAAGTGCCCTAAGGGACATTATAGTGTGGGTGGAGGTGTTCGATTCACTGACTGGAGCAAGTTACCTGTTGGYTTTGATGTCCATTCAAGCCAGCTCCGTTACCGTGGTTATGGTTATGATAATGAGTTCAATAAAGAGAAAGGAGTCAACTGTTCAAAGTAAGGAATGATTTTAATACTGTGAGAGGAAAATATTGCCAGCTTGCRATGCTTTGTGAGATGGTACCTTCCTTCAGTCTGAAACAGCGCACTGWTTGGCTAAGATCAAAYWCRTGATCAACYKRCCGATCGCCTGGACTGGTGTTTGTTGCTTGAGCAATATATATTGATATAATATTGATTATAGGACTGGCTGGACACCTCTGGGTGACAGCGTAGCAACTTCTGGRGAAGAATGTACCTCTCAGTTGTCATATGCTGTTACGGTAAGTTGAACTGTCAAATTGATAATTTTAACTAGAAAACTAACAACTTGACCATGCTGGTCTACATGTAGATAATGAGTGATATGTGATTGTTGTCCTTTTCATTATTCAGCTCAAGAAAGATGGTTTTGTTAAATTCAAGTATCATTTCACCGACAACATGTACACTGTCTTCAAAGTCTTTGTAAGTACATAGTTGTACTTTAGTCTCAATTGAATGACAATCAAAATGACTCTTTGTTTTGATATTGTAGCTCCGTAATGACCAATGTAGAGCTTCCTCGAATTCTAAACAYCAGTTCTACCCAGAGAACACCATGGAAAATGAGTGGGTTGAGAAGAAGGTACAGTGTACTATCTGTATGGATTTTTATAAACAAAAGATATGAGTAATTTTGTTAAATTATAAATTGCACTTTGCAACCTTTGCTATAACGGACTGTCACAGGACCAAACTAGTTTCTACAATTTATAGTGTATCTAATATTAAAAGAGATACAGCAATATGCAGAAAATATGATCTTTTTTGCCTCATATTTCAAGCATTATAAAATATATCAGAAATTATGGGATATCATTGCATGACAGGACAACCATGAAATAAAATCAAACTAAATACTGAACTACTAGCGGCTATTTAGAGACCATTTTTCATTCATCTTTATTGCGTTCTGGTTCATTGATACCTACAAGCTGTCTCAAAATAGCCGCTATTTGTTAGTATTTAGTTTATTTTATTTCATGGTTTTCCTGCATTTGCTCTATTGCTGTATTTTCAAAAATGGATCAATGTTATAATAAGACTGTTTTGTATGCATTAGATTGATTTAAAAGCAGGACGAAACCTGATTACTTGGGAAGTCAGTGCACTTACTTATGGAAGTCATGAGAGAAGAGATCCTGTTTATATTAGTGAAATAGAAATACAAGGTACCTATATAAAGAGACTGTAATTTTGGAAAATGTGTTAATACTGGGATGTTTTGATRAAGAAACCTTCAAGGACATGGTCAACTGACCTCTCTATGTCTTACAAGCTTTTGCTTGTGTTTCAAGAAATTTTGACATAAGAAAGGACTTCCTTTTTACTATCCATTTAATATGCTTTATGAATGGAGATATTGTCAGATTCAATCTTAAAACCAACAAAAATGGATTGGAAATGGATATTTGAAGTCACCTTTACCTAGAAAAATCTAAAACGCTTCTACATTGAATGCTGGTTGATCAGGTCCTACTTTTTTCACATGCTTTTGTTCTAAACATTTCAAACGATTCCAAACATTCTAAATTGTTTAATATATCCCAACATTGTTTTAATTCCATTTGTTTTATTACTAGGGGTTGCATATACATCAGAATGTCAGATGTGTGAAGAAGGATACTTTGCAAAGGACGAAGGATCAGCATTGTAAGTGTTACTGTAATATATTATCATACTCATCATGTAAAGGGCGCGTCACACTAGCCTATTTGCATTTAACTTCAACTTATCATTTTTTACATGGAAGGACCAGCTTTTACTTTCTGCAACAATTATAATGGAAAAAAATGTGACATGGCTTATTCAACTTAAACAATTTTCAATTTAGGCACACAAACTAATCAGAAAGCGAAAATTGAATGTAGCGAGTCATTTTGAACTATGTATGTAATTCACACATTCTTTTCGTATTAGCTAAGTTGCAACTCATGAAACTGCACCTGTAACATGGTCTTGTGCAACTTGCAACAATTTTTTCACGAGAGAAGTTGCGAATGATGTTGTCTTTTTGTTGAGTTAAATGGAGTTAAATGGATTATCAAATCATAGTTTTGTAAACATTGTGGTCTAATTGTTAAATTTACCACTTGCATTTGCAAATATACTGTATTTTGTGTACCGTTATAGACCATATGAAAAAGGGSGTGGCTATTGTAACGCCTTAGTTTATAAGATTTTTATTAAATTTGATTAAATTAGAATGGTCAAAAGTAAACTAAAACAAGAGATGATATTACAAGTGGATAGTGGTATTATAGTGTTTGACCTGAGTATTAAGTTCAGGTTTAAAATGATTGATAAAAAGAGCTTCTTTTATTTTTAGCTCATAACCATTAATTGCAGTGTCTAAAAATTATTGCATCACTTGTGATTTTACGCTCACTTGGAAATGTTTTTAATAAATCTTTTTTAGCTGTGAAATCTGCCCTAAGAATACTATGTCAGTTGCTGGCGCTTCTAAGTGTTCAAAGTGTAACGAGGTCACGGAATACTCAGGTAATTAGGTTTAATTRATTAATTATTAATTGATTAATTAGAAACATAGGCAGTGGCTAACTCGAAAGCTAAGTTCCTTTAGCCACTGCACACTTTCTCCTATAACAAACATGTAATTCCCCATAATTATCTTTAATAGATTAATAATATTCCTTGTAAAATAAGTATATATGTGTGTAAAATAAAAATTGAATTGAATTGAATTGAATACATTAATCCATTCATTCACTCATTTTATTCATCCATTTATTCATTTCTGTCTGTCCTTCATTTATTTCAMATTTCTTTATTTCATTTGTTCCATCAATTTTAGCTCCTGGATCRAAAAACTGCTCAGAAAGAAAGCCATGCACCCAGCAAGACTACTAYGACACAAGAACGGCRTGTAACGGTGACCACAAGACCCAGGTKAAGTACAAGTGGATAGARCCAAAAATTTGYAGAGATGATGTYCAGGGGGCAGTGAAGCTACCAGCATCAGGTGCCATGGAAGAATGTCCTCCTTGTAATCCAGGAATGAAGGTCAATGGTACAGGATGTGTGTTTTGTCCAGCCAACCAATTCAGTGATGGCATTAAAGGTATTTCAGGAATTTTATTTTTTATCTCTTGTGTTT